TATATATATATATATATATATATATATATATATATATATATATATATATATATATATATTAACTATCATATATTAACTTTCCGTAAATAAATAAAAATAAAAAAATTTAATAAAAATTATTAAATATTTTCGTAAAATAAAAATAAAAATGTTTCCAGCTAATACCGTGTTGATTGTTCAATATTTAGATCATTGTAAGCACAAAAATCTTCCTTTTCGGCGAGCAACGTCAAAAATTGTATTTCCAGACGAGCTCTGTCGCGGTATGGCAGCCTTCGCATGTCTTTTCCCAATTGTGCTAAAAATCCATTTAGCGGATCAGTAACCTGCGCTGTTGGTTCTTTCAATGCTTCTATTAAGGCTTCTTGTAAAGTATTGTTCTTTTGCTGTAAAATATAATATATACTTTCATATATCAACCGAATTACATTATTACATTAATTGTATCTTTACAAAACACATATATCATACATGTATTATGCATAAATTATAGCATTATAGTTTTTAATTATTTATAATGTTTTTGCAATGTTGTTTTAACATTTCCGATGAAATGTTACAATTCCATGTCTATGCTATGTTTCTGCAATGTGTTACGTTGAAATTTGAAGTGATGTAACGATCCTCCCTTATAGAAATAGAGTGTATATCAGTTGGACACGGAGCAATTGGACACAGTCCAATCACAAGTCGCTGTTCCAAGGGACCCTACAAATGTCTTTAATCACACGGTGCTGTGATTGGCTGTGTCCAAATGCACCGTGTCCAAGTGCACCGCTCCCATAGAAATATCATACTAAAAATCATTGATAATTACTTATTATCCAGTATTTTTAATACTGAAAATAAGTAATTATTAATGATTCTTAGTATGATATTTCTATAAGGGCTGCAACGTAACTGCAAGCTTCTGTGTTCGATAAAAAATTTTTCATGCATAATTTTGCAAAAATGCTTATACAAAATTATACAAAATTATATATGAAATTTGTCCATATATAATTATACATAATTATATCTAAATAGATAAAATTATGCATAATATATATATAATTATATCTAAATAGATAAAATTATGCATAATATATATAATTATGCATAATTTTCGATAATACAAATGTCTTTTGATGCTATAAATAGTAACTTGTTTCGTTTGTTCTATGTTAAAACTTAAAGAAAAACTTACTGAGAGTTTCTCAATACGCATAGAGAAAAAAATTACTTCATATATCCCTCCGTAGTTTCGAACTCGAACTACTTCATTTGTTCCGCTTGGTAGTCCTAATCCTAGTCTTGGTAGCTACTGGATCACTTTGACAGTAAGAGAGTTAATAATGATTCTAGTGTCTCATACGATATCTTGTTGACTTGTACTTATACAGGTACTGTTATATTGCATACAAGTGCTCGTGTGAAGATAGAACGGGTTAAATTGAATAGAAAAGTCACGTACCATTTTGCAAAATTCGCAATAGTTGACGAGGAATGAATTATTCTTTGTAAGCTAATGAGCGCACGTAAATTGGTAGGCCAAATTCCGTATAAAGAAAAATAGTTTACTTCTGAAGATGACCGCTGTCGCGCGGCAACGTGCCGCTGTTCGTGTCTACATCGCCCTATACTTTGGCTGTGTTCCAAAATTGATTGCCAGCGCTGCAAGTATGTCGTCATGAAAGCATGCTACCAACAGCGTTCAAATTTTGCTAAGCATGCTAATAGTGCAAATGCGGATTTTGAATTGGAACGATTATACAACATACGATGGCAGCACCTGTCTGAGTAATGGCGTTGGGGCATGAGCCACTGATACGCCTCTAGCCAAATATTGAAGGAAGAAAGGAAGGAATTGGAACGATATTTTCAGTGCTGTCGGTGAAAGTTAACCTATCCTATGATTCTTATGAATATGGAGAGAAACATACAAAAAATTGTGTTATTTGAAACAATGTTAAAAGTGACACTTGAGTCTAGTGATTCAGATTTGGATTTAGCAGAAATAATATATAATTATTACGAGCGAAAACCGAAAATACCAAAAATATGTTGTAAAAATTATATCGAAGATGTTGTTTGGCAATATACCGATGTTGATTTTAAAAGTCATTTTCGGTAAGTTATTTATTAAATTATTGGTTTAAATTAAAAATAAAGTTTATATTTAATTAAATATATATATGTATACTTTATATATAAGAATTGTAAATAATATTGATATACATCAGTAATTGTTAATGTAAAAATAATTTTTGTTAATTGTTAATACAAAAATTGGAAGAAACTTACATACAATGTACAGTTTAAACTCAATAAATATGATAATATGTTAATGTAATTTACATAGTCTTAATCGATCAACAATTCGGATTTTATTGGAATTATTAAGTGAACAATTATCAAACAAATTTGAAGGATGTGGCAGACATACCATATCACCAGAAGACTTTGTTATTAGCGATATGGATGATGGAAACTCCTAATTCTTATAGGTAAGTTAAATTGATTATAGTTAGGATTTCTTATAAAAAATATGCAATATTAAAATAAATGACATTTAATCTATCTTTTAATTATAGATGTGTTGCTGATCGATTTGATGTTGGCAAAGGAACTGCTTGGAGATGTGTTGTAAAAGTTGTAAATGCTTTGTATTTACATCTTGACAGATTTATTACATGGCCAAATAGAGAAAGAGCTGAAAAAATTTGGACATGCATTAAAAACAGATACAAATTTCCAAAAGTAATAGGAGCAATAGATGGTACTCATATAAAAATTGCTGCACCAAAACTGCATCCAGAAGTTTACATAAATAGAAAGGGCTACCACTCCATACAATTACAGGTATATTTAAAATTGTTAAAGATATTTTGTAACGTTATATTGACAGCACAAAAAGGCTAAAAAAACATTTTTGAAATGATTAAAAAACATCTGTTAGTCATTTTTTAGATGTCTTTTAAGACTAATGTCATGCAAGTTGATTGATTATACATTTCTAGAGACATATCTGGATAGTTCTTTATTCTAAAAAAATAATTTTTTTTTCAGGTAATATGTGATCATGAATTAAAATTTACTCATGTTTATGCAGGACAAGCAGGGTCAGTGCATGACATGAGAGTTTTTTGATTATCAGGATTTGAACACTTATGTACTCCTTATAGAAGTATCATACTAAGAATCATTGATTAATTACTTATTTTCAGTATTAAAAGTACAGTATTTAGTAATATTCTGTGATTCAAATACAGCTTTTAGTACTCAAGTATATCAATATTTAATGTTACAAATCCAACCTTATGATTGATTTCAATACTTAAATATTGATATGTAATACTTCGTCCAGTGATAAAATACTTACGCAGAACATTGTCAATATTTAAATACTAATATATAATACTTTGCTAAGTGATGAAATACTTACGCAAAGTACTGTTAAGATTAAAAGTA